CGTGCCAAAACTCCTCAAAAGAGTTGTCTACATTTACCCTCTCCAGTTCCACTCCTCCTATTACCTCTTTTGCTTTTTTTCTTAATTAGCATGCATGGGGGGGGGTCATCCCCTAATAATGGACTCCTCTCAGGGTGTTTTTCTTTTTTTTTAAGATTGTATTTATTTATTTGTTAGAGAGAGAGAACACATGAGCACAAGGAGGGAGAGCCACAGGCAGAGAAAGAGGGAGAAGCAGGCTCCCCACTGAACAAGGAGCCTGATGTGGGGCTCGATCCCAGGACTCTGGGATCCTGACCTGAGCCAAAGGCAGACGCTTAACCAACTAAGCCACCCAGGTACCCCCCCCCCCCCCGCCCAGGGTGTTTTTCTTGCATATGAGTGCTACAGTAAGGATATATATGTCCCTTGTGATTCTCCAGGGCGCACAGACCTAAGAGTGGAACTGCTGAGATAAAGCTCACTCTTCAATCCACTGAAAATGGTCTTATCAATGACCTCCTACATTCCTAAATTCAGCAGTCAATTCTCAACCCTCTCCTGATTTGACATATCAGCATCATTTGACATAAAATGTGATTTTTAGCTGGCAAAATTGGATACAATCAGTATTCTTCCTACCTCCCTGGTTATTGCTTCCCAGCCTCTTTTTCTGGTTCTTCCTCTTCTTATCTGTACTCATTCTCTTAATGACCTCATGTAGTCTCATAGCTCCGAATACCAGGATATGTCAATGATTATCAATCTCACTATCCTGCCCAGACTTTGGTTCCAAACTCTGGACTCGTAGAGCCCACTTCTTAAATGTCTCCACCTAGATGTATAACAGATATCTCAAATGCAACATGTTAAACATGGGATTCCTGATCTTCCTCCCCAAACCTGCTCAACTCAAAGCCTTTCCCACCCCGCTGGATGGCAGCTCCATTCTTCCTGCCTTTCAGTCCAAACACCTTTAAGTCACCAGGACTCCTCTCTCTCATACCTCCCCACATCCATGAAACCATGTAGCTAAATCCAGAATCCAACAGTTTCTCAGCACTTGAAATGTTGCTACCCTAGTCTGAGCCACTATCCTCTCTCATCTGGATTTTTTATTTTTATTTATTGATTTATTATTTTTTAAGATTTTAAGTAATCCCTACACCCAACATGGGGCTCAAACTCACAAACTCAAGATCAAGAGTTACCTGATCTACCGACTGAGCCAGCCAGGCACCCCTCGTCTGCATTTCTTAAGTAAGCATTAGTTGCCCAATGAGTGAACAGGCAACAATGTTTACTCTCAAGGAATTCAGTGAAAAGCAACCATTTGATAACAGACTTCTAAAAATTTAAACCCCTCATAATAAACACATATTCCTAAAACCAAGAGCTAATACTTAAGTGGTGGAATAGTGATATTTTCATTAAAATCAGAAACCAAAGATGCTTTATATTACTCAATCACTTAACACTCTTCTATAAGTTATGACCAACACTATAAAATATGAAACATAAATAACAGAAATGAGGAAATAAATTATTTTTACTTGCAAATGATATAATTATATACCTACAAAAATTTATGAGAATCAAATTAAGAACTCTTGGCTAGCACACAAGAATTCAGCAACATGGCCAGATTTGAGATCAACATAAAACTCCACAGCTTTCACGTCCACCAGCAGAAAACAATTATAAGATACAACAGGAGGGAAAAACTGATCCATGAAATTAAGAAAAAATGGTCAAACCTGTAAAACTAAAACACCTTATCAAACACCGTGCAGGCACATATGAATAAATATAATAAAAGGAGAAATGCTTATCATATGATACTAAATATAAAACCTGTGTACAGAACCACACAAGGGATGACATGTATTCATGTGTGTATAAACGTATATCATACATTTGTGCTAAGAGGGCAAAATCTGAAAGGGACGGCACCAAAATAATAATCATTACCTCTGAATTTTAAAATGTAATTTTCATTTTCTTCTTTATAACGTATTTCCCAGATTTTCTAAAATTGTCATGGAAGACCTTTATACTAAAAGTTTTTTACTTTCTGGGAGGTATTACTGAAGTCGCAGCACCTATTTTGAAGCTTAAATAATCCATAAAAGTATTTATAATAATTAGCTGCTGAACCTGTCAGAGGAATAAATGTTTACAAAATCATTTTTTAGGGGCGCCTGGGTGGCTCAGTCGTTAAGCGTCTGCCCTTCAGCTCAGGTCATGATCCCGGGGTCCTGGGATTGAGCCCCGCATCGGGCTCCCTGCTCCCCCGGAAGCCTGCTTCTCCCTCTCCCACTCCCCCTGCTTGTGTTCCCTCTCTCGCTATCTCTCTCTCTGTCAAATAAATAAATAAATTCTTTTTAAAAAAAAATCAGTTTTTAATTGCAGACAACTATTTGTTGCTCTCTGAAAAATGAATCACGAAATTCATTAAGGTTATATCTGAGAAAGAGGAGATTGTTACTTTTGGATGCAAAGGAAGAGATACATAGTACATACTAGTACATTCTTTGTATTTATTAAGATATGTTGATGTGTTTTGTTGGACACAGTTAATATTAAAAAGTGGAATTGGACAGTATTAGTGGCATAGCATGACACCAGGAAAAATCTTTTATCTGTAGGACACTGCTTTCTTTTGGGAACTGAATACCTGAATTTGGTCTTAACAGCATTGAGCATACTGAGTTAAGTCTCTCTGACTGGACCAGCAGAGCAGAAAACCAGAATAAACATTTCAGCCATTTTTCAAACTATGATTACTGGTCCAGGCAATAGGTTTCAGGGGGCTTTCATATTTAATCTATGATTACAGTTAGGTCTCCATAATAATCAACTTAATTCTACCATTATGTAAATCATTGCCTCACAGACAGATACCCTGGTGGAGAAAGAAGACATACTGCAAAGCAAGAACACTCAGAAAACGGAGTTCTTTGGTTAAATTAATGTCTTATAAAAAAAAATAATAATCCCTTTGATTCAAGCCTGAATTCAGCACCTTGCAAGAGATTGATGACACCAGGCTAACGACCCAGGAGACAAGAGTGTCTCAGGCGGCCCCCAAACACCACTCCTTTTCCAAGCTGCAGAAGGGACTGAGGCAGAGCTGAGTGTGTAGCAAACTAGGTCACACCATGGAGACTGCCATTAAAAAGTAACATGAAGGGCGCCTGGGTGGCTCAGCTGATTAAGCGTCTGCCTTCGGCTCAGGTCATGATCCCGGGGTCCAGGGATCGAGACCGGCATCGGGCTACCTGCTCAGCGGGGAGCCTGCTTCTCCCTCTGTGCCTCCCCCCACTCATGCTCTCTCCTCTCTCTCATACATATAAATAAAATCTCTTAAAAAAGAGTAACATGAAAAATACCAGTTTTGTTGTTTTGTTTCTCCTAATAATGAAAAATATAAGAAGCTGAAAGTTCAAGTTAGTTGCAACTTTACCAAATATTTATTCTGAGGCAGAAGACATTTTGAGGCACGCTAACGATAACATAAAAGTAGTTGAACAAAGGACGTTGCTCACAAAAATAACTTAGGTATAAGGGGGAACATGACCATAAATAATAGCAACGCTTCCATGAAAAGTCTTACTCTTTTATTATAATATTCCTATTAAGAACATGAAACAGTATCTTCAACATGTTGAATAGACCTTACTCCTTGCATTAAGTCTTGTGAAACCAGGGGCAGGAGAGGGAGAAAACCATATAGCCCTACTATCTAATTAGCTGTTCTACTTTTTGGATGATTTTAATTCAATCTTACAGCTCATCTTTTAAGATTGATGCGTCTAATCAGGAGTTGAAGAAAATTATAGACTGTTACGAACTACTATAGTAGTTAGATAGTTTGGACTATCATTTTTGTAAAAATCTGGAATTTCCCCTCCTTACAAGTTAAAACTCATTTCAAAATCCAATTTTATCAATAAATGGCAGTCTGTCACAGTTCAGGGAGGGATCATTGCATTTTTTTTTCTCTAGAAATACCAGGTTTTCAGGTTGGACAGTACATAATCATCCCACAGTGCGTGAGCGGATGCTGCCGGGGAGATCTCTGCCCGACGCCGCGTTCCACCTGCAGTCACTGCCGCTCCTTTCCCGCGTCTCCATGTGGAGATGCGGAAGCGCAGGCTCTACTCACCTCGTTTTTACAACAGACATCTCATCAGAAAGTCAATTCAATGCCATCCACTTAGGTTTTTGGTCTACATAAAGTCACTACCAAAGAGACAGAAGGATGGATTCTCGTACATCCTATTTTCACTAATTTATCCCATAAATACAAATTAGAATAACAGCACTTCAAGGGAGCATTATTTTCATAGACAGATAAAAAGGAAGCTTTCACAGCCTTGCCTTTTTGGGCACAGTTTCTTAAAAGCCACCTCTCAAGGCATGAAAGCACCTCCAGGCTCCGACAAATACTATGCCCATTACCCAAACATTCCTGGAGGACACTGCCAAGCTGTAGGGAGAAAGTCAGTATTTCTGCACCCTTGCCTTACACGCTCCTTTAAAAGCCTCCAGAATTTCCCCTCCGGTTTATCTACCATGCTCAACTAAGGAGAGAACAGAAATATGACTCCCTACAGGTCATTTAATTTACTTTGGGACAAAATTGGGACACTCTTTATCCTATATGTGGGCTGCACTCTTCTGAGGATATGAATCCTACCTTCATAGGTAGTACTTTTAGGCAAATTACTCTAATAATGATAATCACTTCCTATTCTCTCTTGTGCCCTAGAAAGGGTTTTTTTTTTTCCCTCTCTTTGCTCAAACTAAAATGACATGTCTCCATAAGCAACTCATTCATTTCTCCTCACTTCCCTTTCCCTCCCTTGAGAAGTTGTGTACGTGAGTCAATTAACGCTGGTTCCACGTGGCTGCAGCTGGGGAAACACGGCACTTTTACTTCACAATGTCTTTTAAGTTACCCACGGACAGACAAGACTTCCCGCCTCAGTGAAGCTGAGCGCTCAACAAAAACTTACATCTTTTCCCAGCACTCTGAGTTCAAACTGTGTCTCCTTGAAATGAACCTTTGTAATCCGTGGCCTAAAAAACAAAGCAGACGGTGGCGGTGGTGTAGTTTGTAAGAATTAATCTTTCAGCAATTCAGAGAAGTTCCCAGAGGGAAAAGGCTGGCTCACCACAACTCCTTCATAGACTGCTACAGCAACTGCTGAGAGCTCCCTATAAGTCATTTGCTCTGGACCCCTTCCTAAACAAAATTCCGTTCTCATTCTCCTGTGCTTCTCTAGTAGATACAGACCAGCTTGGAATCCCCAGGTCCTTGGCCATTACTGCCTTCCCAGCCACAGTGTAGGGCTACAGGCAACGCCTCCCTCATTTAGCATTAGAACTCAGAGGAGTCAAAAAAAAAAAAAAAAAAAAGAACTCAGAGGAGTCCTGGGCCCACAGCCCACCGGTACACAGTGGAATGGGTAGGAAACCCTACTATACCCAATTTGCATGGACAAGAGAGTCCAGAATCACAGTACCTAAAATTTACACAGAAAATACATACTAAGATGCACTGGGAGAAAACTTATACCCAGTTTCACTCATTTATTTATCAACCACTGGAAATGTACCTGTTTTCTTTTCACTAACAAAGACCCATAAGCCGAGCACATACACTGTATAATTTTAATACCAACTCTGCCCTCAAGTTATACTTACCAGAAATACTTCCCCACTTGCTTTTTATTCTTGTAGACAACAACACCAACTGGAGTTAATCCTAAGAAATACTCAGATTTGTTTTCCCCCTGCAAAAACAAACATATGCCTATAACTATGAATTTATTCATGTCAAAAACCTTTGTCAAACTGTAGTTGGCCATACAAACATAATTTGTTGCATTAATACTGGGTCTAGTTTTTCAAAAACAGCTTAGAAAGCTAGCTAAGGTATGATAGTACGATTAGTTTTTTTTTCAAATTTTTACTGAAAAGTTTTCTTAGTGTATTCATCCTTGTAACTGCAGTTCATCAAAAGAACCTGGGCTACCAATCAGACCCCTGATCAACTCAGCCCACACCGCATCCATAGTGCTGTTCACCCCTGGCTGCACTGGAATTAACTGGAATCACCTGTGCAGCTCAATATGCTGGTGCTTGGGTGCTACCAAAACCGGTTAAATCAGAATCTGTAATGAAGGGGCCCAGGTATCAAAATCACATAAATACTCCAGGTGATTCTCCTGTGCAGCGAAGGATTGAGAACCACTGGCTTCTATCAAGAGTTCCTTCCCAGGGGCTCATCTTGATCTTATTCTCAGACGTAGATAATCATGAAGCCTTGTTTATCACCACCCTTCTCCAGAAAGTTCAGGCATCTGCCCTAAGGCACACATTTGGATTCTCTGATGTTTCTATCATGCTTCTTCCTACTTCCATTTGTGACTTTAAGACTACTCAAAAAAGTTAAAAATACCATATTTTCTGGTAAAGACTGAAGACCCCTTAATTTCCAGGCAATGATAAATCCTAATTAAGAAAATGAGATTCTGAAATGAAAAAGTCACAGAGCGGGTATGAAGGACAGGCACATGTCTGTATGAATTTTATTTCTACTCTAAGGTCAAATAACAGCCTGCAAAGTCATATTCCCAAGGAACATAAGACAACTGATATGTTTTGGAAGAGCACCAGCTGTTGCCCACTTTCAGTTCTAAAAATTCAATCTTAAAGGAATGTATGGAAGATTCTAATGAATCCCGTTCATTTGCTATAAATTCCTACCATCCACAAAACTGTGAATTAGGACAAACATTACACAAATGCAGAAGCATTTTGCAGAAGACTCTCTCTTTACACATTTCCTATAAAATACAGTCCTTAAAAAACTAAAAGCCTGACAAGATTAATGTGGCTAGAAGGGAAAACGGTAACTATTCCACAAAGTTTTAGAGGTGTTCTCAAATGACAGTAGTATAGAGCATTTAATGATATAACGAGATTGGAAGCTAAAATATCCAGGAATTACTACTTCCCCCTAAAATACGTAACTTTTATTACCCTACAACAGTATACCCAGGGATGTTTCTAACTCTTCACAAATAATGAGATGATTTCTTGTTTTAGGAAACTCTGATGTGCAAAAGACATATTGAGAAATGAATGCATGAATCAGTTATCTGCATTATGGTAAGTTTTATCAGGGCTCCTTAAAAATTACATTCCATAATTTAATTGACATTGTCTATATATAATCTTGAGCAATTCATTTTGTGTAAAGAATAAGGCACCTGGCTCATTCTCTCAAATCATCAAATTTGACTGTTGCTAACTGAACTCTAATAAAATGAAAGGCAACGACATTTCAACCTCACTGGCAAAGAATTATCCATTGAGAGAAATGGCTTCAAGGTTAAGACATGGATTCAGAATATTCAACACAGATTCAGCGTCACTGTTCACCGACTCTATTCGGCAAGTTCTCATCAGCTGCTAAAGAAAATCTGCCAAAATATTTCCAATATTGGCAATAACTACAGTGGGGCAGCAGCCCCCCTGTTGAAGAACCTGCACATCCACACCTGTCCTGGCGCCAAGGCCTACTTCTCTGGAAAGTGACTTCATGAATATCTTTCAGCCATAAAATCTATTTTTGGAAAATCCTCCTGTTTTCTGTCTAATACAATCAATTGTAGACCAGTTTTAAGTGGTTCTGACGTTTAGCTAAGCCCTATGGAGCTGCTATCCAGATTGTGTTTCCAAGCCCAGTTAATTGTTCTCTACACATGGAAACATAATCACAGACTTTTAAGCAAAACTCATTAGGGTTGAATCCATGCAAGAGATTCTGTGTGTTTGAAAAGCACAGATGAGAAAGCATCATCTGCTCGCTAAACAACAGCACTGCGGCTTTCCTCTGGGAGTTTCAGTGACTTTTTAAGAAAAATGTCATCAGCTTAAAATATCTTGTGTTAATTAAATGTTACTCACATAGACAGGATGGAGGTCAACGCCATACATCTCCAGGGATTTGGCAGTCCTCAAGTAATTCAGCTCTGCTTCAGAAGGAGCCTGACCCCTACACCCAGCATAAAAACAAAAAGCCTTACTTTACTAATAGATACTGCACTTGTAGGGAATAAGCCATCTTCACTTTATTCACTGGAAAAATAATCCCTTGTGCTAGAGCAAACTTAAGTCTTTGTATTTCAAGAAGTCCCTTGCCTCCATGGTGACAAAATGTTACACTCTGAGGTAATACCTGTATTAAGTTAATTTCATTTACCAAATCTGTTTTTACTCAGTATAGCCAATCCCAATGTCCCAGCATATATTTAAAATTCTGTATCAGAAACCCCCAAAGAGATTGAGAATATAAGCACTCGAATTAAAAAGTACATCCTTTACAAAGAGTAAAATGTCTCCACACACCAGCAGCTCTCGATCAGGATAAAGAGGAGTAAGAGTAGTGGTGGGTATGGAGAAGAGAAGAGTTTCCCCAACACCTAGCTGGGGTCTCAAGGGCATCTCCTGAGCACATATGTAGTTTGAAAATACGTTAATATTTCTAAATAATAAAAATACTTATTTTCTTAATACAAAGTAAAGAAATCATCCCCAAATCTTCATTGGTGATAATATTCGTAAATAGTATTCATTCCTAACAAGTGTGAGCATCTGCCAGGAATCTCCATGGATAAGTGGAACTGTGTGTGTGTAAGTAACAGAGAAAGATAGAAATTTTTTATTTGTTAATAAAAGGAGCTATGAATTTAATTACTAAATCCTACTTTGATGCATCCCATGTTTCCACCACGGTGACCTGGAAAACCTAGCAATATACATAATTTTGAAATCTATGAAGAATGTTCATTACAAATTAGACACAAGAAAGCTACCAAACCTTGATCAAGCTTTATTCTCTGAAATAATAGTCACGCTGTCAACACCATCACGTAAAACATGTAAGGCCCTTTACCCGAAGCTCCTTGATAATTTCAAAAATGTAATTGTACTTTGAAACTCCTAGAATTAGTATTCTCAGAATGTGCCAAACACACTGCCCTTCATAATGTTATAACAGGCACTCTCTTAGCATCCACTTCAGCAAAACCTTAAAATGAAGGACTCTATAATCAGGCTGGAGAGCATTCTGGTGCATGCTAATACAAGATGGAAAGCCTGGTTTCTCTGATTGCAATTCAGCAATTGACTTCTGCTGCTACTCACTGAAACAGATCCTTTAGGCAAACATTTTTTGTTGACCAGATTAATTCTATATTTTTTTCCTTAACTATAATAGATCTGAAACCAAGCAAATTCAAGAGGGAATGTTACATAAGAGGCAATAAAGCAAAGTTAATCAGTATAGAGGATTTAACCAAAATAACTATAATTAAATTATAACTTCAATGCTGCAGGCCATTAATTGAAAATCCTACTAGGGGAGTGTGTATATTCTCAGAAGTGCATGTGGTGTTAACATAATACCCTCCAAGGCTCCACACTGGTGTCATCGTGATTTCCACATTCACTGCTATAGACTGAATAGGACTTTGCTTATAACTGTGAAGAATTTACATACTTAAGACAGACCAAATCCAGAATACATTAAGGCTTTTGTGATTACAAAATATATTTATAGCTGAAAGAATAAATTTCACAAGGTACTGGTGACTGAAAAAATAGAAAACTGCAAAATATAACATATACAGAATGATTTCATTTATGTAAAATCATATATACAAATAAATTTTCTCTATGGGAATTTATGCGAAGAGGGGGATTCAAAATCTATTTGCCCCAAACAGTGGTCATGGAAATTTAACACAATGCTGTATCAAAAATATGTTGACTTTAGGCATTGGGATTTACTCTCTCCTTTATATTTTTAAAATTGCTTTGGTTTTCTATGAGCATTTTAGTGTTATAAGCAGAAAAAAAAAGACAAAATACTAGAATGTTCAAGGCACAGGTGAAGAATTTATCATTCTAGAAACTTAAGACTGCCATTAGCATAAGATGATAGTTGATGGATGTTGCAACATAAGACATGATATTTTTTCCACCTTTGAGATATAATTGACATACAACACTGTCATGTGTAATTTTAAGGTATACAATGTGTTGATTTGATATACTTCTATACTACAAAATGACGACCACCATAGGAACGGTTAGCTAACACCTTCACACTGTCACAAAATTACCATTTCTTTTTTGTGGTGAGATCATGTAAGATCTACTTTCTTAAAAACTCTCAAGTATATTGATGGCCCTTGAGGGCTTTACCCTAAGTGAAATAAGACAGAGAAAGACAAACACTATGATATCACTTGAGGAGGAATCTAAAAAAGCCAACCTCATAGGAACAGAGACATAGAATGGTGGTTACCAGGGACTGGGGGGTGGAGGAAATAGGGAGATGTTGGTTAAAGAGTGTAAACTCTAATACAATAAAGTTTTGGGGATCTGATGGATAGCATATGTTGATTATAGCTAATAAAAAGTGATTCTTACATTAAAGTTTTATGAATCCTTTCTATGGCTTCCTCGAGTTCCTCCTTCTGATCAGGAACAAACCGGTACTCTGACACATAGCCTGCAGTATGCTTATATGGGTCGTAATCTCCAAGCTCAGCTACAAAAGAAATTGCATTTTTTTCCATTTTAGAAAAATATTCCTAAAACTATTTTAAAATATTCCTATCATGCTGAAACATTTTCTTCAAATGCCTTATTAATAAATTCAAACATAACTAATTTTAGTAAAAAACTACTCTGGTGAGCGTATATGAATGGTATAAATAAAATCTTGTCTTAAAAACATAAGTTCTGTATTTTTGCTTTCTGAAAGACTATAATTATCATCATTTGCATTTCAATTATTTTTACCAGATTATATGAAATAACATGTTGTAAACAGAATTTAGAGTACATATATTAGAAATGCTAGAGGCAAAAACAACCAGGATACCAATATATCCTCTCAGAAAATAACACCAAGAGATAGAGCATATAATTCAAAATCTATTTGCCCCAAACAGTGGATATGGAAATTTAACACAATGCGGTACGTTGGTTTACACAAAAAAGCAAAATGAAACCAGAAAGCTCATTATATTACATTTATTAAAATTTTCCTCCTTACGTTAATCCACCTTCCAAGCCCAACCCAGTTCATCTATGTGACGTTTTTCCTAGGATATTTTTTCTAGACTATTCCTGGTCTGCAAGTGCCACAAAGGCAAGGAACATACTGTCTCACTGCCCCTGTACCTAGCAAGAGTCCTAGAAAGGGCTCAGTATATATGAGTGGAAACATCCTCAGCCTCCAAAATGACAATGCAAACTGGAGCTGCCCAACATGGTTGCCATATTGATGCCAAGAGAAGAGATGCAATGAGGGCCACACCCTGAATTGGCCTTGGCATCTGACCATATAGAGTCTCCACAACAGCTGCCTGAGAGCAATGTGATCTCTGAGATATCACACCTTGGGGGGATCAACAAACTCAGGTGGGATATAGAATGGAAGGGATTTTCAGACCCTCCACTTAATGCAGAATCAACGCCATTCCTGTGACTAAAACTCCAAAGTGACCTATTACAAAGGATACATAACTGGCTTCACTTTTGCCTCTTCTGAAAGGACACGGATTAAAACTTGAATTCTGACTAAACTTTTGTTCAGGGAAATGTCACTTGATAAGAAGAATTTTAGTACGTAAACTTGCTTAAAAAGAAAAATTCAAATTTCTTCCCAGTTTGCTGCCGTGAAACCTACACTGGATGGCATATGCTCCCAGCTGAGCAGCAATGTTGACAGGGCAAGGCAGCCGGCCCTGAAGGACATCTTGCTTCACCTGCAAGAAAAACTGGTATCTACAAGAGAAATGGAAAAAGAGATTAATGGTATCTTCCACTAGCCAGGCTCTGATAATCACGGCACCAATCACCTTCAATGAAAATAGAGCCACTTCGGGCGCCTGGGTGGCTCAGATGGTTAAGCGTCTGCCTTCGGCTCAGGTCATGATCCCAGGGTCCTGGGATCGAGCCCCACATCGGGCTCTCTGCTCCTTGGGAGCCTGCTTCTTCCTCTGCCTCTCTCTCTCTGTCTCTCATGAATAAATAAATAAAATCTTTAAAAAAAAAAAAGAAAAGAAAGAAAATAGAGCCACTTCGGGCGCCTGGGTGGCTCAGATGGTTAAGCGTCTGCCTTCGGCTCAGGTCATGATCCCAGGGTCCTGGGATCGAGTCCCACATCGGGCTCTCTGCTCCTTGGGAGCCTGCTTCTCCCTCTGCCTCTCTCTCTCTCTGTCTCTCATGAATAAATAAATAAAATCTTTAAAAAAAAAAAAGAAAATAGAGCCACTTCTGCTCCCTGGGGAGGGGGCTGTTGAGTGAGCAGTTTAAACACCCTCTACATAAGGGAGACGGGGTCGTAGTGAAAAGGCACAGGCTCTCAAGTTAGCCTGGCTGGACTGCATCCCAGCTCCAGACTCACCTGGGTAGCTGCTGACCCTCTCCAACAGCCCGTCTCCTCACCTGCAGAACCGGGACAGCAAAGTGTCTACACCTCCTAAGGTTGATGTGGAGGTTATATAAGCTATTCCCAAGACTCTCATTACTGCCACTACCACAGCTACTCCGACACAGCCTTACTGGGAGGAACAAACCGTAAGGACCTAACCGACAGGACGTGTTGCCTACAGGGTCTAAAATCATGGATACGGGACAAAAAGGTCATCGTAGTGCAAGTCTATCAATTCTCATGCCCATTATCCATGGCTTTGCTCATTCCATTTGCCTAAAAAAAAGAAAACCCTGTTATAATAGCGTCATCCACAGTTCTAAACACTGTAAATATAATAACTCATTCCAAGTGTTTACATATAATTTCCATAAGACTTTAAAATAATGTCAGTATCATCTCCATTTTGCAGAATGAAGACTCTGACAGACACAAAGAGATGAAGTAACTTGTCCAAGACGTCACAACTAGTTAAGTAGCAGAGCCAGAACTGGAACCCAGGCAGTCTGACCCTGGAACCTCTTAATCAGAATGCTATGCAACTTTGGCTAGCTTCCCCTCCCCCGCCCCCCTTCAGTCTTTAAGCTTGTGCCAGAGGTTGATGAACCAACACAATGAACCATCAACACCATCCTCGGCTGCCATCACCCACCCACCCACACACACACACACACACACACACATACACACGCACACACGCACACACACATACACACGCACACACGCCCACACATGCACCAGGCTGTCATTGTGGTTTCTCTTTCTTTGGAAGCCAACTCTTGATGTCACTGGGAAGGGCAGAAAAAGGGCAAAGGAAATGAATTATAAAAATCAGCTGTGATAAGCTGCTCTTCTCCAAATGCTTACCAGCAAGGCCCATAGTAAGGGAATCCAAATGTTAGATGCTACTTATTATTATTATTATTTCTGGAAGACTGATACCAAGTTTGATTTTATCCATAAGCTTAAGAGATAATCCGTGTAACACCCTGTGTTTCCCCACTGCCCATTTCGGTAAACAGCACCACAGTCTCCAGATATTCAAGTGAGAGAAACCTACCAATAATGTATAACCCCTGGCACCCACATCCAATCACTGAATCTGTTGTCTTTTGGAATCCGCACACTGCTCTCCATCTCCTAGCCCAGGTCGCTATCCCCTGGATTTCTAAAACCTTCAGTGCTCTGCCATCATTCATACTTATCTCCCTTACAAACAACCTTCCCAAGAGGTAAATGAAATCCTTAAGAGAAAAACAGGATCAAGTCACTCCCTTGACAAACAGACAAAACCTTAAAAAACTTCACTCTACTTTCAGATCCTTAAGAGAGCTTGTGATGTGTGCAGCTCGGTCATGGAGTGGCTTCCCCGACCTCCTCTGCAAAAGGGCTGCGTGGCCTAGCGTCCCTATCCCGCCACCACCACGCGCACAGGGGCCCAAGAGCGGTCGCCATCCAGGTTTCCTCCAGCCCACAAGCGACAGCACCGCAGCCTTCCCCTCCTGCAGCTCACTGGCTCGTGGCCACCCGCAACTATTACCAGCGCCGCTGGGGTTCCACTTCCAGTAACAGCCCCTGCAGAAGTGCAGGGCATCCTGGGGAATCCAGCCCTCACCACCCTGCTCTGCCCCACACCAACCGGGGTCACTGGTGGACAAGCTGCTTTTAAGGGAAGTCCACTCTCTCATTCATGGCTACCCTGCTGGAGTTCCCGCAATGCTCGGAATTTCCCCCAAGCCTCCAGCAGCACGATCACCTGTGACTTGGCTCTGGAAGCCATGAGGAAGCAGCCTAGTGACCAGCCTGGCAAAGCCAACACCGGGCCCCAGTCCTGAGTGGCCACCACCAACCCCAAGGCTTCAGGAGATGCTAGGAGCATCAGAGCCCCTTCCTTCCTTTCCCATAGACTAGGCAGGCTGCAGCAAGCAGAAGGAGCTGGGTTCTTTTATGGCAAAACACCGAAAAATAAGTTGAGAGACCCGCACTCTACTCTCCAAATCACATTCAAGCCTTCCTGACACCCTGTAGCTATGTGCATCAAGTATAAAATAAACTCCAAACGGCCAGGGGAAAAAAAAGAAAAGAAAAAGAAAAGGCTTGTAAGACTTTTGCTTCTTGAGCGAAATCTCTTGCCATTAACCAATGACTACCTCACTCCCTAACTTGCATTTACTTTTCTAGCTCTACTTAACTACTCACCATGCCCTGAATGCTCATCTTGGATATCAAATCCACTTTGTTATAATCATCTGTCCTCCTCTTGAAGAGGAAAAAAGCAGAGTAAAGCATTATTAGCAGAATGTAAATGCAAAAGCTTATAAACTGAAGAGACATTTTGCTAGAATTACTACTGCTTACTGGAAACTTACATTTAGCTACACTCTCTTTCTCTATTGTTAACTTGGAATTTCTTTTCCTGAAGTGTATTTTTTTTTTTTTAGGAAATGGGTCACAGATGCATATTTATTTTGCTCTATTAAGACTTTTATAACATCTGACTGAACAGTCAAATCGCTTGCCAAGTACAGAAACAGAGGGACCTAATCCCACAAGAGTTTGCTTCAAAGGCAAAGGCAAAAAAAAAAAAAAAAAACCCAGAGGGAGATGAAAAAACAAAGAGCTGAAACAGAGAGAAAGACAGATACAAAGAAACAGGGACCTTATCCCATCAGGGATTGTAGTCTCAGTATATAGGTCTGGCACATAGTAACAGCTCAATAAATAGTTGTTGACTTGGATGGATATACAAATGAGCAGGGAGACAGATGGCTGAAATGGAAAAAACTGAACATTCTTTGCTGTCTTTGAGAAATTCACAAAGAAAAAGAAAAAAGGAATCTGTTCAAACTTCCCTGGACAGCCTGCCTTTTAAAGATACCAGAGATCTTTAAGTCATTGCATGGAAAAAAAAAAAAAAAATCCACTAAAATCAAGACAAGTAAACTTTTTTTTTTTTAAAGATTTTATTTATTTATTTGACAGAGAGAGAGAGAGTGAGAGCAGGAACGCAAGCAGGGGGAGTGGGAGAGGGATAAGCAGACTCCCTGCGGAGCAGGGAGCCCGATGCGGGGCTCGATCCCAGGATCCTGGGATCATGACCTGAGCCGAAGGCAGACGCTTAACGACTGAGCCACCCAGGCGCCCCCAAGTAAACTATTTTTAATTAAAAATTTAATTAATCTTTATCACAGCAAGCATATTAGTTTTTTTATGAGAAATTTATGATACAATAAAATCACATTTTCATATGCCAAACAAATACTTTATCATATGTCAGGGCCTATTTTTAACTAACTGTATATAACTTATTTTGTCCATTTTATGAGACTTAGGGTACAATTTAATATTTTATTTAAATTACAGATTTAGAGTTGTTGAGTCTTTCCCTCTGTCACTCTGATTAAGGCTATGATTGGATGCTTGAGTCCTTGTTTATCTCTGGTTTTAATGAGGGGGAACCTACATCCCAGTTTGCCTAGGACAGTTCTTGTTTATGACTATTATACGTGCCTATGTATTAACAGCTCTCCTCGTCATCCTCCAAAGTATCAGGGTTTGGACGATCAATTATAGTGTGACCCTGGTTATATTGTAACCCTACTGGAGAAAAAGAAAATGCTCATTAAAGATGATCCATTTAATAAGGAAGCTTTCCAGACTCATTCTGGTACAAAACTGAGGCATCATAAAGTACTAGTTATCTTTTTTTTTTTTTTTAAGAGAGAGAGAGCACAAGCATACGAGTGAGGGGAAGTGGGAGACAGAGGGAGAGAGAAAATCTTAAGCAGACTCCACGCCCAGCATGGAGCCCAATGTGGGGCTTTATCTCACGACCCTGAGATCATGACCTGAGCTGAAATCAAGCATCAGATGCTTAACCAACTGAGCCACCCAGGCACCCCTGTGTGTAAGTTAATATTCTGGTGTATATGCACTGTCTCCCAAGCTAGATCCTGAGCCCTGGGGGAAAAGAGCTGGGTCTTCCACCCTGTCCACACTTACCACAACACTACAACGAGTACAACACAAGTCCAGGGCTTGAAATATTGGCTTCACAGTTTTCTGTTTATCTGATGTTCACCGAAAAGAGCTGAGTTAACACCAAGCATGTACAAGCTGTTGAGCGCCATTAACAATTTAACAAGTACCAGAGGCAAGAAGAATGGCAAAGGAGGTTTGCTTAAAGACATGGCAGAGAGACCCCACTCTTTCCAGAACCAAAACAGAAGGTTCCCTGAGATTCAGAAGCCAAAGACATGCTTACACCAATATACCTGAAATGCACCTTCCGGTGACCTGAGACCCCTGGTGAGGAAACTGAGCAATGTGGGGCCAAGCAGAAGTTTGACTT